GAAAATAACGAGGAGAATCGGGCGAACACGAGTTCTTCGTTTCCATGGAAATAACTTCGTTCATACGTAATAAAGGATGGAGTTCTACACTACATTTGGAACCACAAGTTTTTCTCTTCCGAGTGAGCACAATGTGTTTGCTAGCTCGATTATGGCGAAAATTCATCCCTTGCGGAAAATCACAAAGATAACGCGGAGAATTTTGGCAAACGCGAGTTCTTTCCTGTTTGAAGGGGAAAAAGTGCCTTTCAGCCCCTTATTGTGGAGTGAAAACAGCTGATCCGATGGTGATCGATTGCTAACTGGTGCGGCCATTTGTGGGCGTGTCGTGGTTGAGGGGAGCACGACTTGGTATGTTAAGCCCTGCTAAGATACTTACAGACCGCTTTACGTTGAAGAGACATCATTTGAGGCTTCCTTCGAGGGCGTGGAATTCTTTGGTGATCGGCATGTTCCTTACATTCCAGGGGATCTATCGTGCCCATTGCCTTTGGAGTAGTCATTGCTGTATATTACTGCTTACCACTGTGGTGTCACTTGTTGTTCTTTCGAGGCATCCTTGAGACGGCCCTTGTTACTGCTCGTGTTACTGCTTCCCTCCTCGTTTTGCAGGACAACGCTTTCTGGACAGCATACTCTCAGAGATTGTACTTATTGTCGTATTCTTGAGGTACGATGGACCGCCCTGTTGAAAATATCAGCGAAATGTCACTGCCGCAATAACAAGGTAAACTATCGACAGCGCGCGCCCGATCGCAACCACACCGTATTTGTAGATTGTCGCGCTCGACGCCGCCTAGCCCTACCGTCACATGCCTCTCAAACCGGCAGCATGTTCGAGCATGCTGTCAGTGCGCGGAGTGCTGGTTGCGGCGCGCACCTGTGGCACGCGGGGGTCCGGTCGGCTGTTGTGGAGGCAGCACATAGAGTGCTACTGCCGTCGCCGTCTTCTTATTAATCTGGTGGATGGATGGTCAGCTCCGTAAGCTGGCATGATGGGTGAGGATCGACGTCATGTAGGAATAGAAGAGACCATAAATGCGAGTATTAGATATTGTGTGGAAGTCAAAGAAGGGCACGATGGGAGCACCAGGGCGAGGAGCCCGGTAGGGCGCTGCAGGTTCTAGGCAGTTGGTAACTGGGTTGTAATACTTTGCGGGTGGTCT